ACCTTAATTTATTGGTAGAATAATAAGCATAAAAATCCCGATTTTGTATGTACAAAAATTGTAAAATATTTTGAATTTCAAAACATTTTTTACTCCAAAGTCTGTCAGTATTGCCTTTACGTTGAAAGGCCCCAATCAGGGTCCTCCTTTCTAAATATATATGGCATGATTTACTTCGAATTAAAAAAAGTAAAAAAAATAATAAAAAGAGTACTTAAAGAAAAAATATACAAGAAAAAACATAATATACTTTTTACCAAATACATCTATTTCTTACAAACACTTCTTAATATGTTATAATATATACAACTATATTATAGATACAATTTGATAACGTTTATTTTTTAATTAAAAAAATAATTAAAACCTAAATTGTTATTTTGAACGTTTTAATAACAACGTGTTTACACCAAATGTCCCAATTGAGATGAAAAAAACTTAATGGGACGAAAGGCTAACTGAAGTACTCGACAAATGCAAAAGATTATCTTGTTGTAAAGTTTGTGGGTATTTCCCAAACAAAAATGATGCTTCCGAACATTACGTGACACACCATGAATGTCAAAATGTGGAAGTTAGAAAAATAGTTGAAAATGCATACAATGCGGGTCAAAAAGCCGGTTACTACAAATCATTCGGAAATGTAACACCACAACCACACACTAAAAAAAGTTGTGATAAAAGTTTAGTTGATAAAGGAAGAAAACTCACAAATGAATTGGCAATGTTGTTTGCTGCCAATAACATAGTATCAAAATACCACGTGTTAAAAGATATTATATCTCTGTGTGCTGACTCGGTTAAGCAGTATGGCGTTGAAGTACTTGAAAAGGTATGTTCAAGTCATCAAACATTAACAAAAAGAGTAAGCGAATTCTCAAATAGTTGTATTGATGAAGAAAACATTGAAATTGACAAAGCTTTATTTGTGGCGTTTGCTCAAGAGGAATGTAAGTTATACAAAAAACCATGGTACTCTTATTTTGTGCGTGTGGTGGATGAAGATTTAAACGTCAGTGTAAGGCAACTAGAAATGAAAGTACAGTATGGAAATGCGACTGGTCATTTATTGGCAAGCAACATGAGAAAAATAGTGGATGATTACAATGTTGATCACAATAAAATATCTGCATTTGTTGGAGATGGTGGTGCTAATGTGATGGGTGTTAACAAAGGAATGGCCATACGAATGGTGAATGAATACAAGGAAGAAGGAGGATGAAAGTGTCCCTTGTTTCCGGTATGGTGTTTTTGTCATCGACTAAATTTGTGCACAGAAGAATGTCTTGGTGTTAAAGGTATGGGTGATTGTGTAGAAATAATTTCCGATATTTGTGAATTCTTAAGAGAGGGTGGTGAATTTTATGTTAAATACAATACTATTCCACCAACATATTGTAAGACTAGATTTTTATCTTTAGAAAATACATTTAAATGGACTTTAAAAAATTTATGAAAACTTCAAAACACATTTGATTAATTTTGAAATTCAAGATTATATTTACGGAAATTACACGGTTGAAGAACTTAAAAATATATTTCGAGATACGACAACAAAGATGAATATTTGTTTTATCGTCGATACTCTCGGAAGACTTCAACTTCTCAACAAGGAATTGCAGGAAAAAAAGTCTATTATTTTTAGAAGTTTTAAAAAGATTCAAATGTTTACCAACGACGTCAAGAAAATGATCAGCGATGTG